TTCAAACCCACCAGCTGCTCTGTGGGGGAAGATGAGGCAATCTATTTCCATAAATATTTACAACCTTGGAAAGCCAATGGGGGTTGCTATGAGTTGGAATTGACTCAGCAGCAGTGTTTTTTTGTTTTAAGTTGATATATGCAATAATACAGATGAATGTCAATATTATGTTAACAGAGGAAGCCAGACACAAAAGAATGCCCAACATATGATTTTTAAGTTCTAGAATAGGCAAAAGTTAGATATAGTAACTGAAATAAGAACAGTAGTTGCCTCTGGGTAGAGAGACACTGATTAGAAAGGGGCATAAGGGAACTTTCTGGGTTGATGGAAATATTCCATATCATGATTGGAATTGTGGTTAAAGGGGATATACATTTGTCAAAATTCAGCAAACTAGAGACTTAAAATATGTGTTATACACCTACTCCTCACTTACTGATTACCTTGTTATCTGACATTTAGCATTTATGACAATAATAAAAAAATCTACCAAACTCAAAAACCAAACTGACTGCCATCAAATCAATTTGATTCATAGCAACCCCTCGGGTTTCCGAGGTGATTTGTCAGTTATGTATTGATGTGATTTGGCAGTTATATAATGAGGTAGTCACCCTCCATTTTGTGATCTGATTTTGTCACCCTCCATTTTTGCCTAATGCTGATTTCCACATAACGACCTGGTCTTTGGAACTTAACCTTATCAATAAGTGAGGAGTGGGTATATTTCATGTAAATTATATTTCATTTAGAAAACTTATTATGTCCAATTATGTAAGAAATCATTTTTTTAAAAAAAACATAAAGAAGTATTTATAAGAAAGTATGTCTCTGTCCTACTGCTGTCTTCTAGTCTCCCTGTTTCCTTCCCCAAAGGCATTGTTTATTATCAGGCCTTTGTGTACTTCCAGAGATATTCTTTGTGTACACAACTGGCAGCATACTATATGTACTTTTCCATGCCTTGCTTTCCCCACACTTAATAATGTATCTTGGAGATTGTTTCATATTAGTAACATATTCTCTATATGTTGTTGTTGTTGTTAGGTATTGTCCAGTCAGTTCCAACTCATAGTGACCCTACCTATAACGGAATGGAGAATTGCAGAGTCTTGCCACTTTTAAATAGATAGGCCAAATTATTTTTAATAGCTGCACATATTTCCTTACATAAATGAGGCATTGTTTATCCAGTTAATCCATTAAAAGGGATGTAGTTAAGTAGATTATATACTTTTTGTTCATCAAAATTTTTAATAAACCTACTTGATGATTACATACATATACATGACATAACATGACTGCCTTATTCTATCCCAGATCATGGAATCCAAATAGCATTACTGGGTCCAAATAGATCATTCTTATATATAAGAATTATTATATGATGTGGATGATTATGCTAAGTTAGCCAAGTACTGGTCTTTTTATGGGACCATGTCACCTTTGGGCTTTCCCTGGGGTAGAGACACCTGGGCCCGTCATATAGGTAGGTTCCATTCCTCTTTGCTTTCCAAGTGGAGCCTAACTCTTCTTCCAGCTGGGATTGCCTTCTTATTCCATTCCTAGCTGGCTAACTTGCCTTCTCAATTCCTACGCTGGTACTAACCCCCTGATCACTGGCTTTATGGCATCACTGGCTTTGTATTTCATGAGGGCTATATTTGAAGTCCCACCTCTAGTTGCCTTTAAAATTTGTGCTGGACTTGCCTCCCAATTCATTTCCCTTAATTGCCAATCTAGTGTTTTCCCATGGATACACCTATTTCTGACAGCTGGCATACCTAGTACTTCCTGCAAAAACCAGTCTAATTTGTGTTACCAGAGAAAGACTAGGTTATGTTTCCAAATTTTCTATCTTCACAATAGAAGTTTTCCATGGTGAATATGAAGATAATTATTTAAACAGTCATTTATTCAGTTCATTCAATGAATGAACAGCAACTAGGTGGGTGGCTGACACTTTGCTGGACAGTGAGGGGGGATTCAAACAACCAAAACACAGATAGCTAAATGAGTGGTACAGACTATAAGTATTAAAGGAAGTCATCTACCTTTCTCAAGTTTCTCCACTTTTCAATCTATCTTCCACACTACCAAGTGATCTTTCTAAAAATCGAAGCGCATCTGTTTTCATAGGAAAAAAAAAAAAAAAAAGCATAAGCTCTTTAGTACAGCATTCAAGGCCCTTTAAAACCTGGCCCCAATTTCTGTTCAAGCCTTAATCCTTCCCAGTCTTTCTCACATACCAATGTTCTACACATACCAAACTTCTCACTGGTCCCATGAGGTATCAGGTCCTTTCTGATCTCTGTTCCCTCTGCCTACAATGCCCTTTTCCCCACTTTTTCCTCTGGAAACTCCCCATCAACTTTGAAGACTCAGTTCAAAGTCTTGATGAAACATTTCCTCTATGTTCCTTATATGTCCTGGAATTTAGCATAATGTTCTGTCACCTTTATTATATTGTGAGCTTTTAGAGGACACTGGTTTTATTTTGTTAGCCTTTGTATCTCTAAATACAGGTCTGAATAGGGCCTGGCAAGTAGTAGGGACACAATGAATATTTGTTAAATGAAGGAATAAACACACAGAAGAAAGAGCTCAATGGGGCTTGGTATATTTAGATAGGGACTTTTGAAAAGCACAGGCCTTGAAGATAGATCTAGGAAGATAGTAGAGAGGTGGGGAAAAGACATTTGGAAGAGTGGAATTATTATCCCAGGAGATGGAAGGGCAAAATTCTAAAACAGAGAGTACAGACAAAGAGAGGGGGTCAGCCAGGCTATAGCTAACTGTTACAATGTTTGACCTTTTTACGTACTAATTTTTTCAATTATATTTGCAACTCCAGGAGGGGAGGGTGTTTTGTATAATCCTTTGTACCCCCTTTCACATTTCCATAGTCGTTGTTCTTTATGCTGCTCTGTATTATAAGTACATGTGTTTTTGCGTATCTCCCCAACATTTACACCACCCTCCCTCTCCACCTGCTTGAGGCAGAGGCAGAGGTCTTAATTGTCTTTGCATCTTCTAAGACATCTAGCATAGTGCCTGGCACACAATGGGTGCTCAGTAAATATTTTTTGATTTACCGTTTGTTGATCTGGTTTCAGAGGACCACAAGATTTCTATGCAACTGTGTATTGTGACACAAAACTTAAATATGCCTATACACACTGAGTAATCTATTTTTGGCAATTTTCATTAAAATGTTATCTTATTGTACTTTGCAGACTGTTACTTCAATTTTCTTCTGTGTTCCTTCTTGGATGACTCACATCTCTTATACCAGAAGGATGCAATAGAAGGGATTCAAAAAGGGTTTGGAACAACTTATGAATGATATAGTCACAAATGTCTGGGTATAACTATCTAGGAATATTGAAAGAGGAAAGAGAGAACTTGCACTTCAAAAATGCCTATTACGTGCCAGGAACTGTGGGTTAGGCACTTGACAGATATCTCATTTAATCTTACAGAATATTTCAGTATAAAGACAGAACATTTCTATCTATAAGATCAAGCCCACCCATTAAGTCACAAAGCTTTTCCAGGGACCAGAGGAAGTATTAATCTTTATTAAAATTTTGTCAACCTTTTAACAGAGGTGAATCTATGGATTTGCTATTGCTTCCTAGGAAAAGAACACTCAAAGCTTATACAGCTTAAAACTCCTTTCTGACCTAACTTGATCAGTTTTTAAAGTTCCAGTGCTTTAAAGTACAACACATTCTGAGCTATTCCCTCAGGAATAACAGAAATTGTATTTATTCACAGCATTTACCTTTATAATTCATAAAGCTTCCAAATACTGAATAAAGTAAGTCAAGTCAAGAAAAGAGACTTCTATTAACCTTGGCACCACCAAATTGTCTCGAATTACAGTACACCTTCTATTTGTATTCTAGACACACTGAATAGTTTTTCTGAGACATTAGATACCTTACCTGTGGGTAGAAGAACACTGGAAGGAAATTAGTTTTAAGTTGTTTCTACTTTTTAAAAAAGAATACTAACTTTGACAAGCATAACATTCCCACATGTATAGCTTCTGCATCTGACAAGAATCATAATGCTATAACCAAAGAATCATACTTAGGAAATGGCTTGAGAAGGAGAGGCTGCACACATTGGTTTGTTATTTTAAGTCACATAGCCTAAAGTTTATAGCTCCACATCCTCAGCAGTGATGACATGCTTCCTGCCATGTGTGGGGGTGAATGGGAATAGAGGGGGTTATCAGCACACTCACAGGCCCCAGGCACCTTTGATTAACTTGTTTTGGGAAAACTATGACAGACATCTTTGCCTTGGTAACTTAAAGCCCATCTCATAAGGCCAAAGATAACTCACATAACGTTTCACATTTGGGATCATCCTGGCCCAACCTGTGTGTGCCACTAATTGTTAA